GCTTAATTCTTAGATCGCGGAGTAATTCTATCTTTAGAAGATATTTTTGTTCCTAGATAGTTTTGGTCTTCTCAGAAACCTCTTTAAGGATCAAGACCTGGATCAAAATAAGACGTAATTCARAGATAAAGCTATCCGCCTTTAGCGATTCAGAGATCACCGTGCGTAAGGCAAAGAATGATCGAGAGTAGTTTGAGCAGTGGATTGCGTTCCTAAAAGAGYTTAAAAAACCTTTTTTATAAGTAAATTTTGTGGCATTTCTTACGATAGATGGATGGAATTTTACGCTTAAAATTACTTTCAATTCTCATAGAATTTTTCGAATTCATTCGATTTGCAGAAACTAGAAACATGGATTAAATATAAATGATACAACGAATAATAATTTAAAGATACAATATATAATATATCTTTAAAATACAAATGAAATAAATATAGTCGCAAGAATAAATTAAAGGTTTAAAGCAAACTAGGTATTGAAATGCAAAAAATTTAAAAAAATAAATAAATATTTTGCTACATGAAAAGGATTTGGTGCTTTTATAATCTTAACTAGAAAAATACTATGTACCTACCTAACTCAATGATTGAACGGTCAGTCCCTCACGCAAACAAACCAAATTATCGTTATCAGATAAAACCGAAATAAACACTTATAAGTTAGGGGTAGTGACGCATACACGAATATGTAGTACAGGTATAGCTCAAAAGTTGCGATATCTTGACATTCTCCTTTGGGCGGAGTTTGACTTTATCTGCATTTTCTACTCCTCTGAGAATGTAAATAACATTAAGAAGACTTCAAATTAGATAGGATTTCTAGCCACCAAAACAATTTATTTTTTTTATATGAGTTTACTCTTTGAAATTTATTTTCCAAAGTTCACTAAAGCTAATGACTAGAAAACCATAGTTTGGCCTGCAATTTCCATCAAAAATATTGTTAATAATGTGGAATTTGKAGAAATAAATAGAGTTCATTATTCAAATAATATACATGAGTGCAAACAATAAATCCATGAAATTGTGCTATTTAGTATTACTAAAGTTTCACGGATTTACTGTGGTCACTCTATCCATAAAATGGATACTAATGTTTAGTACTATAAATAGCGCTATTTAGAGGGTGCCAATTGTCAGTTAACTAYTAAATTTTCGGCCGAATGTMAGCAAACTGTAATAATTTTACGAGCGCTGGCCATAATATTAACCGAAATAATGAAATATCAGTCAACTGTTAACTACTAATTTTAAGTTATTTGTCAGTTAACTACTAGTGTTTTTTTGGCCAGTTGTCACAGTTAACTACTAACCCTTTGGCACTGCACCTCTATTCAAACTATATAGAAAATGATGGATTTCGTGCTAACAAGTACTATTCAGTTAAAAACTATTCCATGGTAATAATATTTGCACTTTAATGGCAAACAAATGAAAAAAATCATAAGATAATTAAGATTCCTTGCTGTAGACTAAACTGGATTTTTTGAAACCTTCCGTGCGTCGTATCAAGTGGGACGTTCTGGTACCCGTACACTTATCCCACTCATGTCAGCTGAAAAACGCTCTATGGATTATTGCAACCACCGAGCATTGAGCTTCAAGAGGCGCTGTTAACGTGGTCAATGTAATAGTTAGAGCTTCTGTAGTGTGAGCTTCGCAATGGCGAGACAGTTTCAAAAGGGGTTTTTACACGGCGAACGAAATCTTTGTTAACCTTACCCGCTATTTTGATTTTATAGCATGTCGTACGGTGTACGGGCTGTAATTCAGTACCGTATGTTACCAACCCATACAATAACCATTCCTATTGAAAGCCATTTCAATGTTACGACATGTCGCACCCATACGATAACCATTCCTATTGAAAGCCATTTCAATGTTACGACATGTCGCATGGTGTACGGTGTGTAATTCAGTACCGTATGTATATCTCACTTATATGATAACCATTCTTATGAGAAGCCATTTCAATGTTACGGCATACCGTACTGTAAGTCAGTACCATATGTTTCCCACTCATATGATAACCATTCTTATGAGAAGCCATTTCAATGTTACGGCATACCGTACCGTTCACATATCATACAACACATAACATATCGTATGTTTCCCACCCATATGTACGATAATCATTTTTACAAGAAGCCATTTCAATGTCACGGTATGTAACGTACAGGGCCACACCCACATACCTACTGTACTTTCAAATTCTCAAGCATAAATTTTGTCAAAAGCCGAAATAACAAACAACATAAATGCTTTTTTAAATCGGTATATATTCCTCTTAACATTAAAAGCCACGAGGACGCCAAGTCTGGGATTCAGTTAGGAACCAGCAACTACAGAAAACGAGCTGTAATAGTTTTGAAAAATATAATGTAGCAAAGGAAAGAGTTCCGAAGCTGGATGTGTATTGTGAGAAGTTCCGCCAACGGAGCACGCGCTCCCCCAAGCAAATGCCATTACAGTTTTAAACTGCGATGGATGCAGGAAGAACGATAAAAGTCACGGAAAGTAGATGTGCTAGAGAACTGTACAGAAATGGTACTTGAAAATACTTATGGTAATATTATTCAATTCCGACTGCATTTTAAGGCTTTTATTATTGAAGAAAGAAGGAAAGCCATAACCTATGTTAGCTGTTATCTGTTGAAAAACTGATTTTTTAAACCARGAAAATGCATTCAAATTGACTTAATTTAAAAGTGATGACATTTTAGTAATATATGCTGTATTTTATTTTTATTAATGTCCTTTTAATGTTGCCTCTTCTACCATTCATTTTTTCTTTCATTCTCTTTCTTTTATTATATCTTCTCTTCTCTTTTCTTCTCTTCTCTTCTCTTCTCTTCTCTTCTCTTCCTAAAATTTTCCCGTATTTTAAGTTTATAATAAATATTAAAAAACGCATATCCATTGCTCATAATCTATTTTAAAATCTTCATACCTTAATCTCCAAAGTTTCCAAACCTATATTTAGCATCACAGATATTGTTATCAAACGGCTGCCTACACGGAGATAGATTACATTAAGTACTAGATTATCTTATCTTTCAAATTTGGTATGTAATTTTTTCCTGTCTTGCAACAAAAAAGAAATTCGATTCTCTGGAAATGCATGGCTAAGTAGACCGTCATTTACTCATTTTCTCATTTACCCAAACCCCGTTCGCCCAAAACCGGTACCGATAGTACGAATGAATTTCGGTAAATAAGAAAGCCGTAGCGTGAGTCTAAACGGATGTATAGGCAATGGTCTTAAGTTAAAGTAAAAAAAAAAATCCTATTAAGATTTGAGGATATGTGTAGTGTGTCTTACATGAAGTGCCGAAGTTATTGTGCATGCTTTTGTCGTTTTCTTCTTCTGCTAACATTCTTTTTTATAGTCGAAGTTTAAAAAAAGTGAAAATATTCGTTCGCAGAATTTAGTTAATTTAGTCACTATAGGCAGCCATTCGTAACAGCCCATACACGGTAAGACATGCCTTAACAATGAAATTATTTCCCTCAAGAATGGTTATCG